TATCTTTATGATTATGTATTTATATCCTAAGGCACAGAAATTCAGGAGAGCATCTATACACCTGTGCATGCAGGAGGGGGAGCATGCATACGCATGCCCTGTGCGTACAAGCAGTTGCTTCTAGCTACACGTGTGAGTGTTGTTGTATTTTGCTCATATGGGTAGCCTCGGCGACACATATCTTCCACTTGTGTCTATCTTGCCACGTGTGTTGAGCCTGACTTGTGGGTTACAGTTGTTAGATACGCCTAACCCATTATACGTTTTCACTATATGTACTCGTGGTTATATATGATTACTGTGTGTACTCCTCTACCTTACATTACCTACCTACGTATTCACATTACCTACGTATTCGCATTACCTACGTATTCACATTACCTACGTATTCACATTACCTACTTACTGACATTACCTACGTATTCACATTACCTACGTATCCACATTCCCTACGTATTCTATGTTCATATAAACAGCGAGGAAGAGAGTCACTGGATGCTAGCCGAAGATTTACTCCTAGACCGACAACCCGTAAGTGTGAGAGGTATCCAGGACAATTCAGGCCCTAAACTTAGGCCAACCGGGACATATACGTCATCGGGAGAGATTGGGCGGAGACAGACACGCGCAAATGTGGGCGATACTTCGGCTCTATTGGAGAATAGTATGGAGTGGGATCTGAATGGGACTGCGGGTAACACGGGTGTGTCTCTACAAGATATGACGTACAGATGTACATCATATGTGTATGCGCCATGTGGTGCATATGCATATACATGTAGTTATGGTGTATATACATGTAGCTATGGTGTATATACATATAGTTATGGTGTATATACATGTAGTTATGGTGTATATACGTGTAGTGATGGTGTATTTACATGTAGTTATGGTGTATATACATGTAGTTATGGTGTATATACATATAGTTATGGTGTATATACATGTAGTTATGGTGTATATACATATAGTTATGGTGTATATACATGTAGTTATGGTGTATATACAAGTAGTTATGGTGTATATACATGTAGTTATGGTGTATATACATGTAGTTATGGTACGTTGGTAGATGACTCGCTCTATGTATGTACCAGGTCTGTGCTTATTCGCTAGTGTGCGTATGGGTGTGTATGTGTGTCGGTTGGTTTACATGAGGCTGCACGCCTGGTGCCATGTGTCAGTATAAGAGCTACATCGGCTACGTGTGAGAATGGCGTGGATTGTGATTGTACTGGCGATCCAACCCAAACTCTAATTATACCTGGGCGATGATATTCTGTGGCGATTCTGTAGGATATCGTCCCTAGCTCGATACTTTATTATTATTTATTTTTGGCGCTTGTTTTATGATACAGCGAGTGAGTTTAAGGGTAAAGGCAAAGAGCCGATGGCCGTTTCACTGCCAACGCATCCCTCTGAAGTGGAGCAAGTCACGAACGATACAAGGTACGACTCTATGCGCGCGTATGTGTGGGTGTACGCACACACACACACACACACACACCCACACACTTGAGAATAATCATAAAGCTCATACATATATATATATACACATATATATATGTATATATATATACGTATGCACGTATGTATGTATGTATGTATGTATATATACATATATATATGTATAAATATATATATATGGTATATAAATATGTATATATATATATATATATATATACATAATATATATATA